CGCCGCCGCCGCCGCAGCCGCAGCCGCCGCCGCCGCCGCCGCCGCCGCCGCAGCCGCCGCAGCCGCCGCAGCCGCCGCAGCCGCCGCAGCCGCCGCCGCAGCCGCAGCCGCCGCCGCAGCCGCCGCCGCCGCCTCCTCCTCTGCCGCTGCCAGAGCGTCTGCCTCGGCTTCGGCCTCCCGGCGCGCCTCCGCTGCCACCAAGGCTGCCTCCTCACCCGCCTCTGCCGTGTCCTCCTCGCTCGCTTCGCCTGCCGCTTCTCCCAACGCCTCCGCCAACCCCTCGACCGACGTCTCCGCCGTGATGCCGTACCGAATCCGCTCCTCGTGGAGCGTCTCGAGAAGCCTGATCAATCCCTCCCTGTCCAGCTTCGCGGGCTTGGCTGCAGCTGCCTCTGACGGCGCCTCGGGATCCTGCGACGGCCCAGCGCCGCCGCTTCCGCCGCCCTTCTTCTTCTTCTTGCCCTTCTTGCCCTTGCCGCGCTTCTCCGCCTCGACCTCCGCCAGCAGCTCCTCGGCGTGCCGCGCCGCCTCCGCCTCCGCCGCCGCCCGCTCCGCCGCCCTCTCCACCGCCCCCGCAGCCCACGCCGCCTCCTTCGCCGCCTTCTCGGCCGCCTTCTCGGCCGCCGCCTTGGCCGCCGCATGCTCCTCGAGGGCGCGCACGCACTCGGCGCTGCCCTCGTTCTTGGCAATCTGCAGCGCTGTGCGTCCAGCCACCGTGCGCAGCTTCGTGTCGGCGCCCGCCCGCAGCAGGCAGAGCAGGACGGCGGGGTGGTCCTTGAAAGCGGCGAACATCAGCGCGGTGCCACCCTTGCTGCTCTGCAAGTTGATCTCCGCGCCGTGCTGCACCAGCAGCTCGACCACCCGCTCGTGGCCGTTGAGGACGGCGAGCATCAGCGCGGTGCGGCCGTCGCTGCTCTGCAGGTCGATCGAAGCGCCACGCTGCAGCAGCGTCGCGACCACCCGCTCGTGGCCTCGGTCGGCGGCCCACAGCAGCGCGGTGTTGTCGTCGCTGTTCTGCAGGTTGATCGTAGCGCCACGCAGCAGCAACGTCGCGGCCAGCCGCTCGTGTCCGGCGCTGGCGGCGATCATCAGCAGCGTAAAGCCGCTCACACCCGCAACAGTGAAAGTCGCGTCCACCCGCCCGCCGCCGTCGAGCCACACCAGCACCGTCGCCTCGTCGCCTTGCACAGCCGCCTTCACGACCTCCTCGGGGACGGCGTCCTCGCCCGTTCCGCTCTCCACGCCATCAGAAGAGGACGCGGCAGTCGGTGCCGCCGCCGCCCCCTTGCCCGAGGCGGCATCGCCGTCCGCCCCTGCGCCGCCCGCCTCGCCGATCTCCTCGGGAGCCGGCCCGCTGCTGCCGCCCTCGCCGCCCGAAGCGCTGCCTGCCCCCGCGCCGCCCGCTTCGACCGCCGCCGCGTCGCGCCTCTCCGCCGCCACCTCGCCGAGAAACGTCTTGACAGCGGCGACGCACTCGGTGTGACTCTCCTCTTTGGCAAGCTGCAGCGCCGTCTTGCCCTCCGCAGTGCGCAGCGCCATGTTTGCGCCCGCCCGCAGCAGCCGGATCAGAACGGAAGAATGGCCGTGGAAGGCGGCGCTCGCGAGCGCAGTGTAGCCGCCGATGTCCTGCAGGTCGACCTCTGCCCCGTGCCGCAGAAGCAGCTCGACCACCCGCACCTGGCCCATGTGGGCAGCGAACATCAGCGCAGTATAACCGTTCAGCGCGGTGCTGCTCTGCAGGTTGAGCTCCGCCCCGTGCTGCAGAAGCGTCTCGGCCACCTGCACGTGGCCTTCGTTAGCGGCGGCCATCAGCGCGGTGCAACCGACGCTGTTCTGCAGGTTGACCTCTGCGCCGTGCTGCAGCAGCGTCTCGACCACCTGCACGTGGCTGATGGTGGCGGCGGCCAACAGCGCGGTAACGCCGATGCTGTCTTGCGCGTCTGGCTTCGCGCCCCGCTTCAGCAGAAGCTCGACCAGCTGCTTGTGACCTTTGGCGGCGGCGATCGTCAGGAGCAGACAGCCACTCACACCGCGACGCACGCACGTTGCATCAACCCGCCCGTCCCCGGCAAGCCACGTCTGCACCACGCCCGCCTTCCCGTCCTCCGCCGCGGCTTGGATCTTTTTCGGCAGCGCGAGCGGCGCAGCAGCCGCCGTTGAAGCGCGTCCGCGCCCTTTGCCAGCCCCGGTTCGGCCGGGCATGAGGGCGCGTGTGGTAGGGCGCGAGTGCGGAGGATTCGTTGAGAGATTTTGTTTTTGTTTTTTTCGTTGTGAGCTCCTTTTTCTTTTTTCGGTGTACCTGTGTGAGTGCCAGTGCGCGCCAGTCCCGTGCCCAGTGTTGTGCGAGGGAGTTTTGTTGTAAAATTCTTTTTTCGCCTCTCTCGAGGTTCTCGAGGTGGAAATCCTTTGGCCGCGTTGGGTAGCGAGGATTGGTGTAACCCGAGCCACGGAGGCGTGTTTTCTGGCGGCCGACCGTCAGTGCACGGAGTTGCCCCTTCTCCGTATCCGTATGTATGTATGTAGAAAGTTGAACTTTTTTCTGCCCCGGCAAAAAGAAATCCGGCCGCGCTGACCGCCGTGAGCCTCCCTCCCTCGATGGCCTCCCACCGCATCGGCGCCCGCCTGTCCGGCCTCTCGCCAGAGCAGCTCGTCGCCTTCATCGACGAGCAGGCGCCCCTCTGGAGCGCCGCCGCAATGCGCGTGGCGGAGGAGCACGCCGCACGGCTCGTGGAGCAGCCCGAGTGGGTCCTCTCCGAGGTCCTCCTCTCGCCGGACCTCGCCCCGCACATCCTCGCCCAGCTGCCGACCACGGAGCACGCCGTCAAGGGGACGTGCCGCGCGTGGCGCCGCGGCTGGAAGGAGACGCTGAAGAAGCGCAAGCGGCCGCGCCTGGCCGTGATCGGCGGCGGAGGCAGCAACGACGAGTTTGTCAACTCGCTGGAGCGGTACGACCCGTCAACGAATGAGTGGGAGCAGGAGGCTGTGGCGCCGATGCCGTCGGCACGAAAGTATGTCGGCACGGCGGTGCTCGATGGCAAGCTCTACGCGGTGGGCGGCGAGAGCGAGGACGGCGCAACTCTCAACCTGGTGGAGCGGTACGACTTTGAAACGAAAGCGTGGGAGACGGTGGCGCCGATGGCGGTCGAGCGGTTTGCTCCCGCCGTGGCGGTGCTCGACGGCAAGGCCTATGCTGTTGGAGGCTACAACGACAACGACGAGGATGTCGACCTCAGCTCGGTGGAGCGGTACGACCCGACAGCGAACATGTGGGAGGCGGTGGCGCTGATGGGGACGGCTCGGCAGGGTCACGGCGTGGCGGTGCTCGACGGCAAGCTGTACGCTGTTGGCGGGTACAGCGACGACAGCGGCGCCCTCAGCTCGGTCGAGCGGTACGACCTGGCGACGAACGCGTGGGAGGAGGTGGCGCCGATTGCGACGGCGCGATATTCTCACGCCGTGACAGTGCTCGACGGCAAGCTGTATGCTATGGGAGGCTACGACGAGAACGGGGCCCTCAGCTCGCTTGAGCGATACGATCCCGTGACAAACGCGTGGGAGGCGGTGGCGCCGATGACGGCGGCGCGAGAGTCTCCCGGTGTGGCGGTGCTCGACGGCAAGCTGTACGCTGTGGGCGGGCGGGGCCTCGCCGGCCCTAGCTCGGTGGAGCGGTACGACCCGGCGTTGGATGCGTGGGAGGCGGTGGCGCCGATGGCGACGGCTCGGTACCTTCCTCTCGCTGCTTTGATGTAGCGCCGGCCATGGCACTGCTGTGCTGGAAGTCGATTGAAAGACGTGTAAGCAGACCCTGCTCGCGCAGCAGGGGCGGACCTCTCTCGGATGGCCGTGGCCCCGATAGACTGAGAGTATGTGTGCGCGCGCGTACGTGGCAAAAGTTGCCTTTCCTTCATTCGCTGCGCTAGCTTCAGCTTGAGCTTTACGCATCCGATAACACGCACAGCTCGAGGAGGAGGACCTCGCCCGCCGCCCTTTACGGCAACTGAACACGTAGTCGTCCACGCTGTGGGGGTTGTGTGTGGGTCCTGTGTCTGGGAGGGAGGGAGTGGGGTGCAGGTTGCTCACCCACGGCACCGGGCCGGTGCTTGCACTTTGAATGCCGTGGGGCTCCTGCCCGTGTCCGGGCGTGGAGATGCGAGGGTCGCCCCCCCTTGCCCCACCACTTTAGTGTGTGTGGAGACGTTTACCTTACCTTACCTTACCTTACGGCTTTAAGAGCTTTATGTGGCCCGAGACCCCCCGCAGCCACGCGCCCACATTGCACATAGAGTACCCAGTCCACTCCACTTCACGAGTCGGTCCACGCGAGACCGGATTTTTCTATCATGGAGCTTGGAGTCCCCTCTCTCGCTCTCGCTAAGTCTCTTCACGGCTCTACAGATTACAGCATACACAAGTCGAACACCCAAGCGCGATCACAGACGATTTTACGTCAGTATGAACTCGAATGTGCGTGGCCGGGACCCCTCGCGCCCCTGCGCCCTGCCCCCGAGGCTGGCCCTCTCAATGCCATACATGGACTCATCGCGCTCTACCTGTACACGAGAAGAGTGAGCCTCTCCCTCACGTTGCGGCTGCGCAGCTCCGTCGAGATGAGCCGGAGGGCGAGGCCCCGTCGCGGGCGGCCTTTGCGGCGGATGCACGACTCGCTCACCTCGGCAGGCTGCAGGGCGACGGTCGGCGAGACTGGCGAGTCGTGGGGCGGCGGGCCGTCGGCTGGCCTAACGGGCAAGAGGTAGACACGTCACACGACGAAGCGTCACCACGCCCACACTACACTCAAGCTGGTGGGGCAAGGGGGGGCACGGCCATCCGAAATGTGCAAAATTCCCAGCGCAGTGTTTCCCGTTACGCATGGGAGTGTGCGGCTGTGACCTCCCGTGGCGAGCGATCAGGCGCTTGGCCCCTTCCTTGGTGAGGCGGCTGTAGTCGATCTCGAGCGGCGCCTGGCCGCGCCTGCATGGAAAAACCCGAGGGGAGGGCCCAGACCTACCCTACCTACCCCGTGTAGATGAGGTCCGCCCAAGCAAAAAAAGAATCTTACAACAAAACTCCCTCGCACGACACTGGGCACGGGACTGGCGCGCACTGGCACGAACACAGGTACACCACGGGAGCCGCCTAAGCGACTCCTGCGAGGGTGGCGAGGCACTTAGCTCCGTGCACCCGCCCACCCCCGCCACAGGCAAGCTCATTCAAAAAAGAATAAAAACAAGAAGCCGCGCCTCCCGCTCGTCCTGCGGCCGCCTCGGTTGGGTTGCGCTGACGCCCGCACAGCTGGTTGCGCTGACGCCCGCACAGCGCGTCACCGCCAGTCATGGCGCCGCCGCTCTGCAGATGCAAGATGCCCGCGCGCCACGCGGAGACGAAAAAGGCGGGCCCAAACCACCGCCGGCCCTTCTGGAGTTGCGCGGCGACAGACAGCCGCGGCTGCGACTTCTTCCAGTGGGACGGGCCGCCGCGTGCGGCAGCAGCCGCGGGGCCGGCGGGCCCGTCCGCGGCGGCGGCGCCGGCACGGCAGCAGCCCGATCGCATCGATGGTCAGTGCGGGCAGTGCCGTGCTCCCGTGGCGTACCTGACCGTCTCCTCCCAGAATGCTCGCGGGAACCAGGGACGGCGCTACTACCAGTGCTCCGCCTGCGACAAGTTCAAGTGGCTGACGCCGGCTGCGACGCCCTCTTCCGAGCCGGCCACGTCCATCAACTTTTACGCGGTGACTGACCGAGAGACGCTCAGCGCGGTGCAGGCGCTGCTCGCGGTGCCGCCGGGCGTACGGCTCGGCGTAGGTCGCGACTACACTGAGCAGCGCGCCGTACCGTACGACTACCTCGAGGTGGCCCACGCGTGGCGCGTCATCAACCGGGAGAAGCAGGCGAGGTTCGACTCCTTTCGGCAGGGGCTGACTGCAGCGCCGCCGGTGGCGCTGCGAGAGGCGCACGCCGCCGCAGCCGCGGCGCTGCGGCGAACGCAGTGCATGCGCGGCTCGGTCGAGCCGCGGGCGGAGGCCAACGAGGCGCTGCTGCTGCATGGCACCAAGCCGCACCACCTCCACTCCATCCTGTTCGAGGGCCTCGCCCCCTAGAAGCGGAATCCGTGTTCATGTCTCCCAACCAGCCCTCGAGAGACACGCACTCCGCTGTATTCACTGTCTTCCTATCCGTTGTCTTCATGCGGTGCTCTGATGAGGTTGGTGTATTCAGCACGTAGGCCTCGACCCACAAATCTCCTCCGACGGCCTCTTCGGGCGAGGCACGTACTTTGCCGAGGCGGCCGCACCCCTCGCCCGCTTGCTCCGCCTCTCGGGTCTCGCACGCACCGCCGCCGCCTCCGCCCCCGCCCCAGGACGCCGCAAAAGTGGACCAGTACCTCGGCGTCGACCTGCGAGACCGCAAGGGCGAGCCCGCCCACGCGCTGCACCGGCTGCACCACAAGCTCTACACCAACCTCCCCCACAAGGGTCACGTCTACTACGTCCTCGTCTGCTCCGTCGCGCTCGGAGACCCGTCCCGCACCAGGCAGCCAACCCTAGCCCTAGCCCGAGCCTAGACCCCCGTCCCGCACCAGGCAGCCAACCCTAGCCCTAGCCCGAGCCTAGACCCCCGTCCCGCACCAGGCAGCCAACCCTAGCCCTAGCCCGCGCCTAGACCCCCGTCCCGCACCAGGCAGCCAACCCTAGCCCTAGCCCGAGCCTAGACCCCCGTCCCGCACCAGGCAGCCAACCCTAGCCCTAGCCCGCGCCTAGACCCCCGTCCCGCACCAAGCAGCCAACCCTAGCCCTAGCCCGAGCCTAGACCCCGTCCCGCACCAGGCAGCCAACCCTAGCCCTAGCCCGCGCCTAGACCCCCGTCCCGCGGCTCGAGCAGCCCGTGGTGCGAGAGAAAGGGGCGGAGCGAGTGGCGGCGCGAGCGGTGCTATCACCACTGCTGCCAGGGCCCTCCACAACGGCCCTTCTCCGTGCCTTCATGCAGGGACGGACGCACCGAGCTGGGTGGTGGCGAGCCGCTCTTTGCCGACGAGGAGCGGCGCGCTCTCCGCCGCCCGGTGTGAAGTCCGCTCCGCCCGTGGCCCGACAAGAAGCCTCGATCCTGAGCCTCCCCGACCTGTGACAGGCCCGCCACGCCGCGCTGGCCGAGCTCGGCGAGCGGGTTGTCCGCTTCCGCGAGCTGGTCCTCTTCCGCCCAGAGGCGATCCACACACGCACACACGCACACACGCACACACGCACACACGCACACACGCACACACGCACACACACACACACACACACACACACACACACACACACACACACACACACACACACACGCACACACACACACACGCACACACGCACCGCTCACCCACGCGCACTGGGCCTTGCACTGTGAATGCCGTGGGGCTCCTGTCGTCAGACGTGGAGACGCGAGGGACTAGCCTGGCCCCTTGCCCCACCACCTCGTGTGTGTGGAGAAGTGTACCTGACCTGACCTGACCTTACCTTAGGCGATCCAGATCGAGCTCGTCGTCGCCGTGCAGCGCACCCGCCGCTTCTGCGGCGCGCTGCAGCGTACACTCCACTCACCAGATCTCACTCACTAGACACCTCTTGCCACCGCCTGGGATGTGTGTCCTGCAACCGCCGTTGGAAAAAAAAGGGCCCCCCCCCCCCCCCTCCACACCGCCCTCCCTCCCCCCCCCCCGCCGCAGACTGCTCGCCGCCGCTGCCCGCCGCCATGCCGATGGGCCCGCTCCCATGGCAGCGCAACCATCGGTGGGCGCGGCCGCAGCTCGTCTGCCCTCTCAGCCTCGCCGGCGAGTCTTCCGCTGCCGCGACCTTGCGTTGCGTGGACTGCTGCCGGCCCCTCGCCAGCGCGGGCGCCGACGCGTCCGCCCGCTTGTGCCACGGCTGCGGCGCGCTCTGCCTCGACGGCGCTTCGTCGCTCGACTGCGGCGGCTGCGGGAAGCGGATCTGCGCGGAGTGCGCCGCGCTGCCGGCCGCGCAAGAGAGGTGCGGCGTGGTGGCGCACGCGGGCTGCGGCTTCGAGCTCGCCCTGCCCACCTGCCACTGCGGCTTGCCGGCGGCCGTCCGGCGGAAGAGGCGGGACGGGTCGACGTACTATGCGTGCCCGGTTGAGTCGCTCGAGCACCATTCCTTGGCAGGCGGAGGAGGCTGGGAGGAGGAGGGGTGCAGCTTCGTCGACTGGAACGGGCCTGCTGAGGCGGCGGCGCGCAGCAGAGAGCCCCAATCACCGACCGAGCTGATTTCGCAGGCCACGGGGGAAGCAGCGGCCCCCGCCGCCGCCGCCGCTGGTACCACCTCGCCTCCCCCAAAGCGCCAGCGCGGCGGCGGCGCCTCCTCCGCCAGCGGTGCTGCGGAGGTGGTGGACTTGTGCGACAGCGAGGCTGACTCGGAGGCGACGCTGTGCGACTCCGAGTCGGGCTCATCCGCCTCGCCGTCGGAGGAGGAGGGGGCGGCGACGTCGCAGCCGCCCTCGCAGCCGCCGTCGTCGCAGCCGCCCTCGCAGCCGCCGTCGTCGCAGCCGCCCTCGCAGCCGCCGTCGTCGCAGCCGCCCTCGCAGCCGCCGTCGTCGCAATCTCAGCCGCCCCAGCCCACCCCAGACCAGCTCCAGAGGGCGGAGGCCAACCGACAGGCGGCGCTGGCGCGCAGGGCCGCCGCACAGCCGCGGCGGCCAACGGCACCGGAGGGGACCCCGGCGGCGGCGACAGCGCCCACGCCCATTGAAGCAGCCGCCGCCGCGAGCTTTAGGACGGGTCAGAGCGTCTCGTACGCGCAACGGGACGGCACCCAGTGCCTCGCCACCGTGAGCGCCGTGCTGCCTGGCAGCGTGGACGACCCGGAGCCGAGCTACACGGTGGCGATGCCCAGCGGCATGCAACGCGACACCATCGCCGCGCGGCTCACGGCATCCTCGCCGCAGCCGCCACCGTTGCCGCCGCAGCAGCCGACGCCGCCGCCGCCGCCGACGCCGCAGCAGCCGCCGCAGCAGCCGCCGCAGCAGCCGCAGCGAGCGGTGTGGGAGGTAGAGCTCTCTCGCGCTTTCGTCGCTTTCGGCGCGCCGGCACAAGAGGAGCTGGAGGCGGCGTTCCAGCGCGGCGACCCCGTCGCGCGCATCCGCGTGCGCGGCCAGTCCTACGAGGTCTCGGTGAGGGCGAGTCAGCCGCGGCAGCAGGCGGTCGGAGGCGGGTCGAGGAGCCGCGCGGTGCGGCGGCGAGAGCTGGGCGCAGCTGGGGCGGCGGGCGCTGAGTGAGGCTGAGGGCGGGTAATTTTTCGCCCGTCGTGTGGGGCGATGCCAATTTTATAAGTATCAATGCTGAACTACTCGGGCGCCGATCGCGTACGGCGTGCACGGGCGGGTTCACGTTCAGCGGCCTTCACGCTTCAGGGCGACGGAGGTGTGTGTAATGCATTGGCTGTGCGATGCCGCACCACATTGCGATGGTGATGCGTAGGAGCCGGCGGGCGGCACGTGCCCGACGGGTGGCTCGTGCCCAGTCGTCCCTGGTGGCGGGCCGGTGGGCAGTGGCGGCAGCTGCTGCGGTGGCGGCCGCAGCACTGGTGGCGGCGGCCGCATGGCAGGCGCTGAGCCTGCGGGCGGATTGGCGTGTTGGGCTGGCGCTGGACCGCGATCAGAGCTGATACCATGTGACGGCGGAGTTGACGCCTCCGACGGTCGTAGCGGCGTGGCTGAGGGCGGCGGTGGAGGCGCCCGATAGCGCGGTGAGGATGGTCTCATGGGTCTAGCAAACCATAGACGACACCAAGAGAACGCGAGGTAAAACCCGACGGCTATGGATGGTAAAAGGCGGCGGTAAAACCCATCCACACGGGTTTCGGTGGGTTGGATGGGAGGTAGAATGTCTACCTACCGCACGTGTCTTTATATTGGCGCAGATATATGTAAATAAAGCCGTGGAACTCGTGTAACACATATATCGGTATGTATGCTTTTCTCATATATCGACCCGCGTCAAGACAGCTGCCGCGTGCAGATGCCGCCCTGCACTGGCACCGCCTCGGGCAAATACCCGTAGTCCTGAAACTGGAAGCCGAGCACAACGAGACCCGCGATAGCAGTCAAGAAGGACAGGCCCTCGGCAGCGCCCAGGAGGCCGCCCGGACCGGCAGGGAGGCCCGAGCCGCTCGTGGCTTTGCTCAGCAGAGCGGCGGCAACAAAACCGATGACGACGAGATATGAAATCCCCTCCGCCGCGCCGAGGAGGCCGAAGGGCCCAGCAGGCAGGCCGCACCCGGTGGTCTTGAGCGTGTAAAGGCTCCACCACATGATCGGCTGCGAGCACAGGCCGAGAACGGCCGCTGCTGTCGTCGCCTGCTGCTGCGGCGCTGAGGCGGCCGGGCCTTGGCTGCGAGCGGCGCCGAGCGCCTTGGCGTGGTGAGCGATCAGCGGCCTGGGGTGGGTGAAGGCGGAGGCGCCGTGGCTGCGAGCGGCGACTGGTGGCTTGGCGCGGTTGTGAGCGATCGGCGGCTGCGTGAAGCTCCGCCGTCTTGCAGCAAAAGCACAGTCAGAACCCGCCTCATACGACGGGGGGAGGGCGCGGCTGTTGTTCCGTATCAAAGCACTGGGCTGTCTCAGGTGTGCGGGCGTGCTGCCCGCCCTTCTGGCTACTCGAGTACTGACAAAATTCTTTTGTACAGTCGCGCCAGTCCGCGCCCTTGTCGTGCCAGTGTGCTATCATCTGTCTAGCGTCCACCCATACCGCGTTGGTGTCCAGTCCGAGCCTGGCTGTTCTTCACCTTTCTACCTACCTACCTACCTGTGCTGTGAGAGAGGCTTGTATTTTAAAGAATTCTTCTGTGCGCCGACGCTCCAAGGCCTCGTCGGACGCAGCGCGCAAGGCGGCGTTCCACGCCCGCGGCTCGCAATACTTCATCTCGAGACAACAGCCGTACGAAACAACAGCCGAGTACGACAGGGGCCGGAGGGAGGGCGCGGCTGTTGAGTGTTGTTTCGTACTACTCGAGTATCACCTCGTTCGTCTGTGAACAGGGCTCGCACGACGCACTAGAGCTGTCAAACGTTAACTTTGGGCCTAACAGTTGCACTATTGTTGGCTGAAATCCTCAACGTTGTTCAAGTGTTCTCCCCCAGCCCAAGCTGTTACTGTTTGTTACTGTTGTTACTGTTGTTCAGTGGTCAGCAAGCAGAAAATGCCAAAAAACCCGGGTAAAACCCGAAAATACCCGGGGATTTCCAGGTATTTTCGGGTATTACCTGCACTGGACGCTGGAGGTCGTAGACCAACCCACAGCGCCAAAGTCAAGTGACTTCTCGAAGTCACTCACCCCCGCGCGCACAGTACGTGCTCTAGCGGCCGGCCTTAGTGCCAGCGGTGCGCGCCAGTCCCCAAAACAGCTTTTTTTGAGCAAGAGCATTGAGTCGTCCGAGGTTTCACTTTTCCTTCCGCTTTCTTCCCTACTATCGTGCCGAGTGCGTCTCTCCCCACTCTCGAATCATTCGGCGGAGCATGTGATGATTGGCGAGGCAAGTGTGCTGGAGCTCCTCGCCCGTCATCGGGCTCGTCGACTTGGTCGCGAGCCAGCGCTCGATCGCCGACCGCTCGTAAGCATGCCCGTCTGCCGCCATCACCGGGTCGCTCATGACCTCGGTCGTGATTGGGCAGATGAAGTCGGCCGGCGGCTCCTCCTCCTCCACCGAAGGCGGCCTCTCTGCAGCCAAAGAGGACGATGCTTGCTCGTCGGGCGCCCGCCTCTCCTCCACCAGCCTCGCGCTCTCCTCGAGCGCCGCCGCCAACTCCGCCTCCTCCGCCGCCGCCAGCGCTGCCTCATCCTCGGGCTCCTGCGACGGGCCAGCGCCCCCTCCGCCACCCTTCCCCTTCTTCTTCTTCTTCTTCTTCCCCTTCTTGCTCTCCTTGGCGCGCTCCCCCGCCTGCTTCTCCGCCTCCTCCCCCGCCAGTAGCGCCTCGGCATGCCGCGCCGCCTCCGCTTCTGCCGCCGCTCTCACCGCCTCCCTCGCCGCTGCCTCGGCCGCCGCCTCCGCCGCCGCATGCTCCTCGAGGATACGCACGCACTCGGCGTGGCCCTTCTCCTTGGCCCACTGCAGCGCTGTCTTGCCGTTCTCAGAGCGCAGTGCCGTGTCCGCGCCCGCCCGCAGCAGGCGGAGCACGACGGCGGGGTAGCCTTGGATGGCGGCGCACAGCAGCGCGGCGCAGCCGCTGCTGCTCTGCAGGTTGATCTCCGCCCCGCGCTGCAGCAGCAGGTCGACCACCCGCTCGTGGCCCTCCTGGGCGGCGCCCATCAGCAGCGTGATGCCGCTCACGCTGCCTCTCTCGTACGTCGCGTTGACCCGCCCGCCGCTGTCGAGCCACGCCAGCAACGCCGCCTCGTCGCCTTGGAGAGCTGTTTGCCTGGCCTCTTCAGGAAGGCTGCCCAGCGAGCTAGAAGAGGCCGCGGCCCTCGCTCCCGCCACCGCCTCGCCCGAGGAAGCGCCGCCCGCGCCGCCCGCCGCCGCCTCGCGCCGGCTCGCAGTCACCTCCGCGACGTGCTGCCGGAAGGCCTCGACGCACTCGACGTGGCCGCTCTTCTTGGCCATCTGCAGCGCTGTCTCGCCGCTCGCACAGCGCAGCCTCGTATCCGCGCCGGCACGCAGCAGGCGGAGCACGACGGCGGGGTGGCCAAGACCGGCGGCGAACATCAGCGCGGTGATGCCATTGCTGTCCTGCATGTTGATCTCCGCGCCGCGCCGCAGCAGCAATTCGATCACCCGCTCGCGACCACGGCCAGCGGATAGCATCAGTGCGGTGACGCCGCTCACTTCGTCTATCACGCGAGTCGCGTTGACCCGCGCGCCGCTGTCGAGCCACGCCAGCAGCGCCGACTCCTCGCCGCGCGTAGCCGCGTTCGCCGCCTCTTCAGGAAGGCTGCCCAGCGAGCTGGAAGAGGCCGCTTCGCCCGAGGAAGCGCCGCCCGCCGCCGCCTCGCGCTGGCTCGCAGTCACCTCCGCGATGTGCTGCCGGAAGGCCTCGACGCACGCGGCGTGGCCATTCTCTTTGGCAAACTGCAGCGCGGACTTGCCGTTCCAGCCGCCGTTGCCCTGCTTGTTGATCTCCGCCCCGTGCTGCATCAGCAAGTCGACCACCCGCTCGTGGCCGGTCATGGCAGCGCTCATCAGCGCGGTGTTGCCGTAGCTGTTCTGCTTGTTGATTTCCGCGCCGTGCTGAAGCAGCAGATCGACCACCCGCTCCTTGCCGTCGGCGGCGGCGAGTAGCAGCGCGGTGTTGCCCATGCTGTCCTGCAAGTCGATCTCCGCGCCGCGCTGAAGCAGCAGCTCGACCATTCGCTCGTGGCCGCAGCGGGCGGCGTACATCAGCGCGGTGACGCAGCTCACATCGCCTACCCCGCAAGTCGCATTGACCCGCCCGCCGCTGTCGAGCCACGCCAGCAGCGCCGCCTCGTCGCCTTGGAGAGCTGCTTTCGCCGCCTCTGCGGGAAGGCTGCCCAGTGAGCCGGAAGAGGCCGCGGCACTCGCTCCCGCCACCGCCTCGCCCGAGGAAGCGCCGCCCGCGCCGCCCGCCGCCGCCTCGCGCTGGCTCGCAGTCACCTCCGCGATGTGCTGCCGGAAGGCCTCGACGCACTCGGCGTGGCCCTCCTCCTTGGCATGCTGCAGCGCGGACTTGCCGTTCTCAGAGCGCAACTTTGTATCCGCGCCCGCCCGCAGCAAACGGAGCACGACGGCGGGGTGGCCTTGGAAGGCGGCGCCCATCAGCGCGGTGCCGCCGACGCTGTCCTGCATGTTGATCTCCGCGCCGCGGTGCAGCAGCAGATCGACTGCCCGCTCGTGGCCATGCTGGGCGGCGAGCATCAGCGCGGTGATGCCTTTGCTGTCCTGCAGGTTGACATCAGCGCCGTGCCGCAGCATCAACTCGACCACCCGCTCGTGGCCATGCTGGGCGGCGTACATCAGTGCGGTGCCGCCGTTGCTGCGTTGCAGGTTGATCTCCGCGCCGCGCTGCAGCAGCTCCTCGGCTACCCGCTCGTGGCGTTCCTGGGCGGCGATCATGAGCGCAGTGTCGCCGTCGCTGTCCTGCAAATTGATCTCCGCGCCGCGCTGAAGCAGCACCTCGACGACCCGCTCGTGGCCCCACTGGGCGGCAAGCATCAGCGCGGTGACGGCGCTCGCATCGCCTACCCCGCAAGTCGCATTGACCCGCCCGCCGCTGTCGAGCCACGCCAGCAGCGCCGCCTCGTCGCCTTGGAGAGCTGCTTGCCTGGCCTCTTCAGGAAGGCTGCTAAGCGAGCTGGAAGAGGCCACGGCACTCGCCCCCGCCGCCGCTTCGCCCGAGGAAGCGCCGCCCGCGCCGCCCGCCGCCGCCTCGCGCCGGCTCGCAGTCACCTCCGCGATGTGCTGCCGGAAGGCCTCGACGCACGCGCTGTGGCTGTTCTCCTTGGCATACTGCAGCGCTGACTTGCCGTCCTTAGTGCGCAGCTTTGTATCCGCGCCCACCCGCAGCAAACGGAGCACGACGGCGGGGTGGCCTTCGAAAGCGGCGTCCATCAGCGCGGTGCTGCCGCTGCTGCTCTGTAGGTTGATCTCCGCGCCGCGCTGCAGCAGCAACTCGACCACCCGCTCGTAGCCATGCTGGGCGGCGAGCATCAGCGCGGTGTCGCCGTCGCTGTCCTGCAGGTTGACATCAGCGCCGTGCTGCAACAGCAAGTCGACCACCCGCTCGAGGCCGTTGGCGGCGGCGCTCATCAGCGCGGTGCCGCCGTCGCTGCTCTGCTTGTTGATCTCCGCGCCGCGGTGCAGCAGCAGATCGGCCACCCGCTCGTGGCCTTGGAGGGCGGCGAGCATCAGCGCGGTGCTGCCGTTGCTGTTCTGCAGGTTGACATCAGCGCCGTGCCGCAGCATCAACTCGACCACCCGCTCGTGGCCCTCCTGGGCGGCGAGCATCAGCGCGGCGCCGCCGACGCTGTCCTGCTGGTTTACCTCCGCGCCGTGCTGCAGCAGCAACTCGACCACCCGCTCGTGGCCTTGGCCGGCGGCGCACATCAGCGCGGTGCCGCCGTCGCTGCTCTGCAGGTTGATCTCTGCGCCGCGCTGCAGCAGCAGATCGATCACCCGCTCGTGGCCGTGCAGGGCGGCGATCATGAGCGCAGTGTCGCCGTGGCTGCTCTGCTTGTTGATCTCTGCGCCGCGCTGCAGCAGCACCTCGACGACCCGCTCATGGCCAAAGTAGGCGGCGTTCATCAGCGCGGTGTCACTGTTCGCCCCGTCGATCGAATTGATCTGCCCGCCGCGATCAAGCAACGCCAGCAGCGCCGCCTCGTCGCCTTGCCCAGCCGCATCGGTCACTTCGTCGGGCAGGCTGCCCATTGTTGAGGGAGCGCGCCCGAAAAATTCTTTCTTTTTGCAAACAAGAAATTCTTTGGCGCGGCTGTTGTTCCGTATCAAAGCACTGGGCTGTCTCAGGTGTGCGGGCGTGCTGCCCGCCCTTCTGAGTGACAAAATTATTTTAGAGTCTTTTAGAGCTTAGCCTTCGATGTTATGAAACAACGCAAGGCGCACATGGCATATCGCTCTCGGGCCCACAGACATCCCGCACACTCGCCGCACACCCGCCGCCCCCGCGCGCGCCCCGCCCCGGCCGGGAGAAAGGGGAGTGACAGTTTGGGACGGCAACAGAACGAGTATGTTGAGTCCTGGCTCAACAACGCAGATAAAGGACTTGGGTGGTCCGGCCCACAAGTCCGGCTCATGCGCCCCGACTGACCGATCTACCGCACTGATCACTTCCGCCCCCTCGCTCCCAACCCATAGAACCCATCCACTCGCCTCGGGCCGCGCCGCGCGATCTCGGGCGATCTCGCGCGATCTCGGGCGATCTCGGAGCTCCACGCCACGCCTCTCCACCCCACCCCACCTCACCCACCGCCGCGCCGCGCTATCTCGGGCGATCTCGGAGCGTCGCTCGCGCGGCGTCACACCTGCTCAAAAAGGAAGGAGGTTGGAGGCAGGAGGTCACGCCCCATCCAGAGCGCCGTCGTCGCCGGGTTTTTGGCCCCCGGGTCGTCGCCCGACGTTGCTGCGCGGGGCAGCAGACCATCGGACGGCGCGACGACGCCCCGTCCGGCACGCTCCCTCCTCCACCCGGCTATTGCCGCACGAGCGCCCTCAGCGGCGGAATTTTTCCCCAATTATTTTTGTACAGTCGCGCCAGTCCGCGCCCTTGTCGTGCCAGTGTGCTATCATCTGTCTAGCGTCCACCCATACCGCGTTGGTGTCCAGTCCGAGCCTGGCTGTTCTTCACCTTTCTACCTACCTACCTACCTGTGCTGTGAGAGAGGCTTGTATTTTAAAGAATTCTTCTGTGCGCCGACGCTCCAAGGCCTCGTCGGACGCAGCGCGCAAGGCGGCGTTCCACGCCCGCGGCTCGCAATACTTCATCTCGAGACAACAGCCGTACGAAACAACAGCCGAGTACGACGGGGGCCGGAGGGAGGGCGCGGCTGTTGTTTCGTACTACTCGAGTATCACCTCGTTCGTCTGTGAACAGGGCTCGCACCTCAACCTCTCACAGACCAAAGACCAACCCACAGCGCCAAAGTCAAGTGACTTCTCGAAGTCACTCACCCCCGCGCGCACAGTACGTGCTCTAGCGGCCGGCCTTAGTGCCAGCGGTGCGCGCCAGTCCCCAAAACAGCTTTTTTTGAGCATTGAGTCGTCCGAGGTTTCACTTTTCCTTCCGCTTTCTTCCCTACTATCGTGCCGAGTGCGTCTCTCCCCACTCTCGAATCATTCGGCGGAGCATGTGATGATTGGCGAGGCAAGTGTGCTGGAGCTCCTCGCCCGTCATCGGGCTCGTCGACTTGGTCGCGAGCCAGCGCTCGATCGCCGACCGCTCGTAAGCATGCCCGTCTGCCGCCATCACCGGGTCGCTCATGACCTCGGTCGTGATTGGGCAGATGAAGTCGGCCGGCGGCTCCTCCTCCTCCACCGAAGGCGGCCTCTCTGCAGCCAAAGAGGACGATGCTTGCTCGTCGGGCGCCCGCCTCTCCTCCACCAGCCTCGCGCTCTCCTCGAGCGCCGCCGCCAACTCCGCCTCCTCCGCCGCCGCCAGCGCTGCCTCATCCTCGGGCTCCTGCGACGGGCCAGCGCCCCCTCCGCCACCCTTCCCCTTCTTCTTCTTCTTCTTCTTCCCCTTCTTGCTCTCCTTGGCGCGCTCCCCCGCCTGCTTCTCCGCCTCCTCCCCCGCCAGTAGCGCCTCGGCATGCCGCGCCGCCTCCGCTTCTGCCGCCGCTCTCACCGCCTCCCTCGCCGCTGCCTCGGCCGCCGCCTCCGCCGCCGCATGCTCCTCGAGGATACGCACGCACTCGGCGTGGCCCTCCTCCTTGGCATGCTGCAGCGCTGACTTGCCGTTCTCAGTGCGCAGCTTTGTATCCGCGCCCGCCCGCAGCAGGCGGAGCACGACGGCGGGGTGACCTTGGATGGCGGCGCCCATCAGCGCGGTGATGCCGCCGCTATTCTGCATGTTGATCTCCGCGCCGCGGTGCAGCAGCAACTCGACCACCCGCTCGTGGCCATGCTGGGCGGCGAGCATCAGCGCGGTGTCGCCGTCGCTGTCCTGCAGGTTGACATCAGCGCCGTGCTGCAACAGCAAGTCGACCACCCGCTCGAGGCCGTTGGCGGCGGCGCTCATCAGCGCGGTGCCGCCGTCGCTGCTCTGCTTGTTGATCTCCGCGCCGCGGTGCAGCAGCAGATCGGCCACCCGCTCGTGGCCTTGGAGGGCGGCGAGCATCAGCGCGGTGCTGCCGTTGCTGTTCTGCAGGTTGACATCAGCGCCGTGCCGCAGCATCAACTCGACCACCCGCTCGTGGCCCTCCTGGGCGGCGAGCATCAGCGCGGCGCCGCCGACGCTGTCCTGCTGGTTTACCTCCGCGCCGTGCTGCAGCAGCAACTCGACCACCCGCTCGTGGCCTTGGCCGGCGGCGCACATCAGCGCGGTGCCGCCGTCGCTGCTCTGCAGGTTGATCTCTGCGCCGCGCTGCAGCAGCAGATCGATCACCCGCTCGTGGCCGTGCAGGGCGGCGATCATGAGCGCAGTGTCGCCGTGGCTGCTCTGCTTGTTGATCTCTGCGCCGCGCTGCAGCAGCACCTCGACGACCCGCTCGTAGCCAAAGTAGGCGGCGTTCATCAGCGCGGTGCTGCTGTTCGCCCCGTCGATCGCATTCATCTGCCCGCCGCGATCAAGCCACGCCAGCAGCGCCGCCTCGTCGCCTTGCCCAGCCGCATCGGTCACTTCGTCGGGCAGGCTGCCCATTGAGACCACGCGGCCCAAAAATTCTTTTTTCCGACAAGTTTCGCGCGTCCCCACGATGGTTGCTGCCCTTGGCGGCAGCCACCGTGGGAGCCGACCTGGAGATCCTCAGCGGCTGCAGCCGCCCGCGGCCGCTGCCGAAGGCACCGGTCGCATGGACTTCAGCTCGGTACACGCGCTGCCGGCCGGTGGGCCACGCTCTGATGGACGACGCTCTGGTGCCCTAGACCAGCGCCAACCCCAACAGAGCTCTCCCGGCCGGCCGCTGCGACGCGACAGCCTGGTCCCCGAGCCTCCTGCTGCTGCCACGGCCCGGCCTCCAGGCACAAGGCTCGCCTCGCAGCAGCCCGAGCAGCAGCCCGAGCAGCAGCCCGAGCAGCAGCCCGAGCAGCAGCCCGAGCAGCAGCCCGAGCAGCAGCCCGAGCAGCAGCCCTCACAGCAGCCCTCACAGCAGCCCTCACAGCAGCAGCAGCCCGAGCAGGAGCCCTCGCAGCAGCCCGAGCAGCAGCCCGAGCAGCAGCCCGAGCAGCAGCCCGAGCAGCAGCCCGAGCAGCAGCCCGAGCAGCAGCCCGAGCAGCAGCCCGAGCAGCAGCCCGAGCAGCAGCCCGAGCAGCAGCCCTCACAGCAGCCCTCACAGCAGCAGCAGCCCGAGCAGGGGCCCTCGCAGCAGCCCTCGCAGCAGCCCTCGCAGCAGCCCGAGCAGCAGCCCGAGCAGCAGCCCGAGCAGCAGCCCGAGCAGCAGCCCGAGCAGCAGCCCGAGCAGCAGCCCGAGCAGCAGCCCGAGCAGCAGCCCGAGCAGCAGCCCGAGCAGCAGCCCGATCAGCAGCCCGAGCAGCAGCCCGAGCAGCAGCCCGCACAGCAGCCCGAGCAGCAGCCCGCGCAGCAGCCCACCATCTGTGCCTCCGCCTCTGCCTCTGCCTCCGCCGCCCCCACCTCCGCTGCCGCCGCCCCTGCCTCTGCCGTCTCCGTCCCCCGCTGCCGCCACTGCTCCTCCTGCGAGGCACCGCCGTTCCATTGTTGTCTTTGTCGTACCGGTATCAGCCTCTCTGAGAGCATCCGGGACGACTCCACCCTTCATTCTTGCGGCGCTGCCGCGAGCTGCGCTGGGGGCTACGTCGCGTGCGGCGCGCGGCGATGGACAGCGGCGGCGAGGAGCCCCCGGCGGACGACGACGAGGGGCCCGTGTGCGAGATCATCAATGACGGCGCCCCGGGCGTTCCTCAGATCCCCGAGGTGCTGTGTGCGTACCCTCCCGGAGATCGGAGGGACACGCCCGCGGCTCGTGTCCCCTCAGCAGCAGCGGGGAGCACGGTCGGAAGGGCGCTTTTGTCGCTTTCGGCAACACTGAATCATTCTACCGGAACATGGTCGAGGGGCATGGGCCCTACTGCGAGGAGGGGGAGGGGGGGAAGGGGGGGGGGGGGGAGGGGGAGGGGGGGGGAGAGGAGGAGGGGGGGGGGGAGGGGTACGGGGGGGGCGGCATGGAGGGGGAGAGGAAGAGCAAGGGCGAGAGAGGGCAAGGGACCGGGCGCTGGCATACCAGGGGGGGCAGGGTGGTGGGCGGCGACCGCCGCATACCGTCCTACGGCGGGGACTATCGCTACGCCAGGGAAGACAAGGGCGTCGAAGTGCAGCTGCTGCTGTTCGAATCGTTCGGCGGGTTCGGAAAGGGGGTCCGTGAGATCCTCAGGAAGGCGGCGGACGTACTACAGAACAAGCTGACGCGGGCCCAGTACCTCGATGAGGTGACTTGGACCACCAAGAGCTGGCTGGGGCTGCAGAAGCAGCGCATCTCAGTCGTTCTTCACACGGCAATCGCAGAGCAGATTGTGAATGAGCTTGCCTGTGGCGGGGGTGGGCGGGTGCACGGAGCTAAGTGCCTCGCCACCCTCGCAGGAGTCGCTTAGGCGGCTCCCGTGGTGTACCTGTGTTAGTGCCAGTGCGAGCCAGTCCCGTGCCCAGTCCTGTGCCCAGTGTCGTGCGAGGGAGTTTTGTTGTAAAATTCTTTTTGGTTTACCTCGTTTGTCCCACATTGTAAGGAAGCAGGGCGGTGGTCGTGCCATCGTCGCTTCTAACGCACACACACACGCCGCATTCGTCGCCGGCGCGCGACAGGCTCCCGTCGGCCGGACTGCCCTCGACGAGTGGGTGTCGCCAACCAAAGCGACACGCACTCGAGAGAGAGATTTTTAGCAATACCAAACAACTCTAACACTCACACGTAATTTGGGGCCTGGAGCCCTGTTCACGCGCGCGCGAGACGTGCAGACAGGGTTGCCAGGTGAGAGCGAATGGCGCGGTTCACGCCTCGCACAACAGAGAGAGAGATGCGCTCTGCATGGTGGGACATAAAAGAGAGCGAGTACTTGGGCGAGTAGGCCGTGCGGTCAACGCTGCCGCGCGCGACTTTGCGCGCGAGGCGGCGCAGCTTGAGAACGGCGGTGGGCGAGAAGCCGCCGCCGAACGTCTGGATGCTGCGGTACTTCTTGTGGCGCGCCCTCGAGCCCCCGATGGCGCCGTGCGCTGCGCAGAGGTCCCACGTGGAAAAGACGCCCCAACCAGACCCTGGGACGTAGAGCGCGTAGTACCAAGGTTTGGGCGCGGCGGAGACGCTGTGTAAGATGAAAAGGGAAGCGAAAACGCCGTTTTTTTGTGTAAGCCGCCATGAGGCCAGCGAGTAAGACATCTCCCGGGAGCCTTGCCAGCACCAGTCCGAGCGGGTCGGAGAGGTCCCAGAGGCCGCCCGCCGACGAGGCGTCGCGCGAGAAGAGGCTGGCGATGGTCTCGTCTGCGGGCGTGCCGCCAGCGAAGATGTCGATGTCGGGGTTGTTGGGGACGGGCGACGCCAGAACGGCGCCTCCTCGTCCTGGTGCTCTACTGCCTTCGGTACCTGTCAACCAGGGTCCCGGCAGGAGCGAGTCGTCGGACGGGTAGAAGATGCGCTCGGAGTCGACGGACTTGTACAATTTGTGGCTCCGAGAGGGCCGCCCCTCGCACAGCCCAACCAGGCCCCCGCCCAGCGGGGTAGTTTCCTGGCTACTGGTCGGGCTGTGGTTGGTGCGGTTGGCTCCGGCTCTGCCAGTCGCCGAGGGCAATGGGTAAGACGGTTGTGCCGCCCCCGCCCCCTCATCCGAGGGGACCCCACCGGCGTTGTGGACACTGTGAGGGACAGGCTGCCTTGTGGCTGCCTTTGGTCCGACACAGCGTCTGGGGGGGCGACCCCCCCATCTTTGTTTACCGATGCGTCCTAGAATGCAAAAACGCATTCTAGGACGCACTTTTCATCTCAAAGATACCATGTGTCTCGGGTACACAGGGCATTCTAGGATGCGATGGCTGTCCTGGAGATAGCCGCGCCGTGTCTTTTGTTACGCGTTCCATCTTAGACGCCACAAGCATCTATAGATGCACAGCTGTTCTGAGATGGCACTTGCATACTAGATCACATTTTACTATACTTGGACAGGGAAGCGTCTCAGGAGACACCGTGTGTCGGGTGCACCGGGCACCGAGGGGGGAGCAGGGAGCCAGGGAGCACGAAAAGGCGGTGTGATCTCTCGGCACCCCCTGGGGGCCCTGCCTTGAGTGCTCGTGTGAGGTCTCTCCTCGCGGCCTGCCCCTCCTGGAGAACCAGGTTCTCAGCACCGCGCATGCATCTGCTCGCGCCACGAGCTCTGGGCGCAAAGACCAAAGTTGCATGCACTGCTTACGACGATCCGACGGCGACGCCGCCTCCCCCCCCCACCAACCAGTTTGCGCGGCAGGTAGCGGGGCCAGTTCGAGGCTGAGGGCGTGGGCGTGCGCCTAGACACGGAAGACAGCGTACTTCCGAGAGTCGGCCACCGCGTGGTTTTTCTTGTTTGACTTGGCGATTTGAGGGACCGGGCATCCCGACTCCAGCTCCTGCTCCTCGCTCCTCGCTCGGTGAGCTGTCGCCCACCAGCGCGCGGCGACCGCGCGCACACCGTGCCCGCCGGCTCGCCGCCCTCCTCACCACCCGTCGGCGCTGTCCGCAGGCATGTGAGTCAGAACGGCGACCGCGCAGCGCGCACGGGTGTCTTGCTCGCCACCACCCTCTCGCCCCCGCTCCGTGACCGCCGCCGCCCGCGCCACCGCCGCCGCCAACACCGCCTCGCGCCTCGCGCCTCGCTCTCGCCGCCCCCGCCGCCCGCCCTCGACCTCGCGACGGCGTCCTTCTGGGGATCTGCGGGTGGCTTGCCCGCCTCGCCGCCGCCCCCACAGCGTGACCGCTTCCGCCGCCCCCACAGCGTGACCGCTTCCGCTCGATCGGTGAGCCGTCGCCCACCACGCGCGCTCTCACGGCGACCGCGGGCCGCTCATCGCCTCCGCCACGTCGCAGGTGTTTGATCTGGGCAGGAAGCGGCGCTGGTGACGGCAACCGGCAGCCACGTGCACGGAGTGCTAAGCGAGGTGCCTGTGTCCAAGTCTGAGTAGCCCGTGGCCGTGAGTGGCGTCAGGGGCAGTGTTCTGTGACTGTGTCCTGTGCGTGCTGTTCAGTGTGAGTCGGTGCAGCGGTGGGCCTGCTGCCGCTGCCACACGTGAGAGCCGCTGTCCGTGCCCCAGCACGTTGCGCGGAGAGGCTATAGGGCGCCCACCCACGAGTGCTCGGGTGGGCGCGCCGCGGCTGTGCGAGTAGTAGCGCAGCAGCCGCGGCGCACAGCCGGGGGCACGGCCCGCCGCGCAGCGCTCGCCACACGCTTTTCGTTTTCTTTTTTGTTTTTATACGTGCGTGTATTTCTTGAGATCCACACGCTGTTCAAAATATGCGCGCGTCTTCTGAGACACGCGCTGTTCACAGTATGCACGGCGCGTCTTTTGAGACAGCAACGCCAATCGGAGATGCCGCGAGCAATTCGGGATGCGCGGAGCAACTAATATAGACTCGCGCATCTTAGGATGCTCGAGCATACCGAGGACAGCGAGCGTCTAAGTAGGAGGCCTACTAGACGCACTCTAATCCAGAGACGCATTCGGTAAACAAAGATGGGGGGGTCGCCCCCCCAGACGCAGAGCCATTCTACACGGTGCACGGTGGGTGGGACGGTCGAGGTAGTCGGCGCCGGACCTGTGCAGCGGGTAGAAAACACGCTAGACACGCTAGGCACACTAGACTCGTCACGCGACACAGACACAAAAGACAGGACACGAGACGAGGTAGCCTTGGCAGCAGCCGTGGCAGCAGCCGTGGCAGCAGCCGTGGCGGCAGTCGTGGCGACAGCCGTGGCGGAAGCCGTGGCGGAAGCCGTGGCGACAGCCGTGGCGACAGCCGTGGCGGAAGCCGTGGCGGAAGCCGTGGCGGAAGCCGTGGCGGAAGCCGTGGCGGAAGCCGTGGCGGAAGCCGTGGCGGAAGCCGTGGCGGAAGCCGTGGCGGAAGCCGTGGCGGAAGCCGTGGCGGAATCCACGGGGCGCAGAGCACGCGTGCTCTGCGCGAGTGCGAGCGCAGGATCGCTCAGGATCAGCAGCACGGCGGCCGCGAGCCGAAGAGGCCCGACAGCCGACATGCCAGCTGAAGTAAGGAGGTTTGTGTTTTGCGCACTCGAGGGTAGTGCCGACGGGACGCGGCTCGAGGGCGACTCTCGCGAAGGCACGGCTGGCAACCGTGGCGCGGGGCTCGCGTTCGACAAGACCGGGATCGCTCTACCGGCAAACCTCTCGCTGACATGCGCGCACCGTCGAGCTGACGGCGGGCGCGCTGCGGTCGCACGCCAAGCCAAGTTATATGCCAACTAGCAGACCTTGCGCGCACGCGCGCCAAATTTGTTTTTCTGAGCTTAGCCTTCGTGTTATGAAACAACGCAAGGCGGACATGGGCATATCGCTCTCGGGCTCACAGACATCCCTCACACCCGCCGCACACCCGCCGCCCCCGCGCGCGCCCCACCCCGGCCGGGAGAGAGGGGAGTGACAGTTTGGGACGGCGACAGCCCGAGTATGTTGAGTCCTGGCTCAACAACGCAGATTACAAGAGGGGGTGGTCCGGCTCCCAAGTCCGGCTCACGCGCCTCGAGCTGACCATCTACCGCACTGAGCACTTCCGCCCCCTCGCTCCCAACCCATCCACCCCGCCCCGGGCCGCGCCGTGCGATCTCGGGCGATCTCGCGCGATCTCGGGCGATCTCGGGGCCGCGCCGCGCTATCTCGGCGATCTCGCGCTATCTCGGGCGATCTCGGGGCCGCGCCGCGCTATCTCGGGCGATCTCGGAGCGTCGCTCGCGCGGCGTCACACCTGCTCAAAAAGGAAGGAGGTTGGAGGCAGGAGGTCACGCCCCATCCAGAGCGCCGTCGTCGCCGGGTTTTTGGCCCCCGGGTCGTCGCTCGACGGTTGCTGCGCGGGGCAGCAGACCATCGGACGGCGCGACGACGCCCCGTCCGGCACGCTCCCCCCTCCACCCGGCTATTGCCGCACGAACGCCCTCAGCGGCGGAATTTTTCCCTCGCGCTTCCTTGGGCCCCCGGCAACGCCGACGGACTTCCCGTCCCCCCACCTGCGCCGCAATCACCGCCGTGATTGTCGGCGCCGCGCCCCTTGGCGCCCGTGCATGTCCCGCGTGCCCGCCCGCCAAGGCTGGTGCCAAGGCCAACTCAACTGCCAAGGCTGGTGCCAGGGCCAAATCAACTGCCTGGCTGGTGCCAAGGCTCAAAGGCTCTCCTCTCTCTCTCCCCTCCCTCTCTCCCTCCCTCCCTCCCTCCCTCTTGGTTGAGGTGGAGAGGGCGGTGGTGGGAGTACATCCTCTACACCCTCCCTCAGAGTCAAGAGATGAAGATTCTGCCCCACACAGCCCCTTACCCCTTCACCCTCGCCTCGCTGCTTGGTGTTTCTGACTCCACTCCCACCCTGGGGCGATGCGCTTCGCTGAGACCTCGAGAGAGTAGTGCCGAACCCGCT